GGTACAGAACTAAATAGAGAATTCTCAATAGAGGAATCTAAAATGGCTGAAAGACACTTAAGAAATTGCTGAACATTCTTAGCCATAAGGGAAGTGTAAATCAAAACAACTCTGAGATACTATCTTACTTCTGACAGAATGGCTAAAATCAAAACACCAAAAAGTTTATGCTGGAGAGGATGTGGAGAAAGGGCAACATTCCTCCACTGCTGGTGGGAGGGCAAACTCGTACAGTCACTTTGGAAATCAATATAGTGGTTCCTCAGGAACCACAAGATCCAGCAAGTCCACTCTTAGGCATATATCCAAAAGATGCACATTTATACAACAAGGACAACTGTTCAACTATGTTCACAGCAGCATTATTTGTTAATAGCCAGAACCTGGAAGCAACCTAAATGCCCCTCAACTGAAGAATGGTGGGGGAAATGTGGTACATTTATACAATGGAAAAAACAATTAAATCTTGAAATTCACAGGCAAAAGTATAGAACTAGAAGAAACCCAGTCACAAAAGTACAAACATGGTATGTACTCACTCATAATGGATTTTAGACATATAGCAAAGGATTTCCAGCCTATGATCCACACCACCAGAAAAACTAGGAAACAAAGAGGACCATAAGAGAGACATACATGGTCCCCCTGAGAAAGGGAAAGGGACAAGATCTCCCAAGCAAATTGGGAGCATGGGAGATGGGGAGAGGGAGTTAGGAGAAAGAGAAGGGGAGTAAAGGAGGGGAGAGAAGAACATGAGGGAGCAGGAAGATTGATTCAGAGAAAGAATAGAGGAGAGCAAGAAAAGAGACACCATAAAAGAGGGAGCCATTATAGGTTTAAAGAGAAATCTGGCACTAGGGAAATGTCTAGAGAGCTACAAGAATGGCCCCAACTAACAATCTAAGCAATACTGGAGAGGCTACCTTAAATGCCCTTCCCCAATAATGAGATCGATGACTCCTAGAGCCCTCATCTAGTAGCTGATGGAAGCAGAAGCAAACACCCACAGCTAAACACTGAACCACATTCCTGGAATCCAGTTGCAGAGAGGGAGGAGTGATGAGGAAGAGGTCAAGACCAGGCTGGAGAAACCCACAGAGACAGCTGACCTGAACAAGAGGGAGCTCATGCACCCCAGTCTGATAGCTGGGAAACCAGCATAGGATCAATCCAGAACCCCTGATGTTAGTTAGGATGATTGGGCAGTCTATGGGGCCTCTGGTAGTGGATCAGTATTTACCCCTAGTATACGAATGGATTTTGGGAGCCCATTCCACATAGAGGGGTACTCTCAGCCTAGACACATGGGGGAGCACATAGGCCCTGCTCCAAATGATATGACAAAGTTTGAAGATTCCCCCACGGAAGGCCTCATCATCCCTGGGAAGCGGAAAAAGGATGAGATGGGGGCTGGGAGGGGGACAGGGAAGAGGGGAAGGTAAGGGAACTGGGATTAATATGTAAAACAAGCTTGTTTCAAATTTAAATAAAAAATATTATCATTAAAAAAATGTATTGAAGGAAAACATTCAACCCAGGGGATGGCCTCCCCCAGGCCCCAGTACTGCAGCAGATGGTGTGGTTTAAATTTCAGAAATTGGAGAGTCATTAAGGAAAAGAATGTTGGCAGGCATCAAGGCACTTATAAAACCATCTGAGCTGATGAGGGAATCCAGGTCTCATGCCTTTAGAAGATGAGGCAACATGAACAGAGGTAAGGAACCTGAAGGCTAGATGAGGGTCTTCTGGACTGGAGAAAGAGAAAGGGCTTCAAGGTGAGAAAGGAGAGTACAGCCAGTGCTTTCTGACATCCTGAAACAGACCACAGAGCCTACTCCCTTTGGAGCAAAGGGAAAACTCTACCTTCACATGATCGGAGGTATGTGTTTGTGGGTGGGGGGTTACTGAATGGGAGGAATGGTAAATGGTGCTCCCTGGGAATGATCCAGAATTCATGAATCACAACGATTAGGATCAAGTCTTGGCCTTGCCACTTTCTAGCTGTGTGACCTGGGAAGTGACAGCTGGCAAGCCTCCTCTTCTTCAGCTGTAGGATGGAGTATCTATAGTAGTAAAATAAAAAGGGCTCTGAGCTAGTACTTGACACAGCATGTAAACAGTATTTTTCAGCTCCCATTGTTTTGGGTAGACACACATAGGTGGCAGCCTCATTGGTGGTACAGATGAAAAGCAGGGCCAGATCTAGTAGACTTGTGGTAGGAAGACGCCTTGGTAGAGGGTGGTAAAAATTCCATGAGTTGGCAGCATGAGTTCTGAGGTTTACAGTCCCTGGCTGCCTGTATGTGTGCAACCTGGAAGCCTGGCATACCAGGAGCTCAGCCATGAAGCTGTTGTCACCATCATCCCTCAGGAGACTTCCCTCCCCTTAAGAGCACTGCCTCTAGACGAGACACTCAGTCACAGTGTTTGCTGTTTTACATGGGCTACAACAGAAATGCAGGCACCTTCAGCTGCCTCATGTCATGACTGTGGGTCAAGAGGATGAATCATTTACAGACTGACACTGATAGCATGCTATTCAATGGCTCACAGATGAAGGAAATAGACATATTCTCAGGTCATACATTAGTCAGAGCAAGCTGGGAAGTTTTTACTTTGGGAAGTATTTTACCAGCATTAACTCTGCTGGTTCTATAAAGGTTCAGTGATGTCTGCAGGTCCCATAAACAGATGTTTGTGGCTAGGATGGAAGCAGAGGGGAGGAAGAACCAATGCAGAAGCAAGAAAATGAGATCTGTAATATGTCAGAGGTGGCCACTCAGTGGGCATTTGGAGTAGCAGAATGATACAGGTCACAAATTTGGCTGTGACACTGAGCTTGGCATGGAAAGGACATGGCTGTGCCAATTGTAGTCACTGATGAACACACTTGCTTGAGACAGGTACTAAGTATTGGGAGAGAATGGTGGCTAGGACTTTGTCCTGAAAGTGTGGTAACTTGGTCTATCATTAACCTGGGACATCCATCAAGGAACTGTGCCCAGTGTCTAGGGGACTGAACAAGATGCTCATTGGTCCCCAAGACAGCTCTTATCTCTAGAGTTGATGGCGTGCAGCAGGTGAGTCCAGTATGGAAGCTACTTTTCAAAAAGGAAAACTAAAATTGGTTATGGTTGCACATGTCTATAATACTATCAAGTAGAATGCTGAGGCAGGAGGATTAAATATTTGAGGGCTGGTGAGATGGCTCAGTAAGTAAAGTTACTTGCCATCAAGCTTGATGACCTGAATTTCAGCCTCAGGTCCCTCATGTTGGAAAGAGAGAAACTCATGAAATTCTCCTCTAGCCCCTGTGCATGTCATGGCATATGTGTGCATGCACATCCATACTCACAAACACACATACTAAATGCAAATTTTAAACATGTTTGAAGTTAGACTATACAGTAAGTTCTTGGCCAACCTGGAACTGTGAGATTTTGTCTCAAAAAAGGGAGCGGGGAGGTAGTAGAGGTATTTGGAGGAGGGTGGATGTTTCTAAGGTTCACTCAGTTAAAGCAGCTTGATCAAATATATAGAACAGCTATAATCAGACCATTAAATGGGTCAAGTCAATGTCCCACACCACCACCAACTCACCAAGTTAAGTTTCATTAGGGTTGCTTACAGGAACATGGGTAACGGTATCTCTCCTTCCCCCAGCATCAAAAACTGACTACAGATACTTAGGGAGGAGTGGATAAGGCCTCATGAACCCTTCCTCCTCTGTGACAGGCTCAATCTTATCACACATCTTGTGTGGGTAGCTACAGTGACTGTGAGTTAAAGAGCCCAACAACTGGCAGACAGTGATGTTGAATGTCTTTAATCCCAGCATTGGGGGGGGGGGGGCAGAAGCAGATGGATCTCTGTGAGTTTGGTCTACATAGAGTTCCAAGACAGCTAGGGTTACATACACAGAGAAACCCTGTCTTGGAAAACAAAGAAAGAAAGAATGAGAAAACAGTCTAACAACTGTTGTGTATGTGAACTGTCACGTCCAAAAATCCGTGCTCCATAACATCCCAACCCTTCCCTTGGATATTACATTCTTTCTACTCCTTCTTCCACAACGTATCCTGAGCCTTGAAGAGAACAACACAGATGAGTGTCCCTCAACAGTCACTTATTCTTAACCCTGACCAGTGAGTCTCAAGAGGACATTTTTCTGTCCTTTTGACAGATGCTAGAAAATCCAGGTCACCTGGCCTGTGGGGGTTGTGTCATTATGGTTTCTCCAACAACTGGAAAGGTGTTAAGGTCAGGGTAGTATCGAGGTTTAATAAGGATCAGGATAAACAATTAGGCCGAACAGATGTTTATTCAGGGAGAAATAACTCTCAACATGGAAGGTGAACACCAACAGGTTCCTGCTTCCAAGAATTCCTCCGTAAGTCCTCCTGTCCCTGTGTGGCTTGCAAGAGAGCACTCTCCTGTGCCTCCTCAGACCTCCTTCCACAGGTCACTTCCGCCCCTGGCTCCACCCCCCCAATGGGTGTGGTCAGTGCCACAGAAGGAGACAAAGTGAATATCCCACTACAGGGTAGACTTCTGTCCTTCAGTATCTCTAGAACACACTTCTGAATCCCCCACATTCTCTTAAGAATTCCACTGATTACCAAGTTCCAAACTGCTTGATTGACCTCTCCCTCCTGGTCATTGCTGGCCTGACCCTCTATATCATTTTACTTGAACTGCCTCCTGCTGAGACCTCTCTTCTGTGCACTTCCAACCCCAATTTTAATGAGACTCACTTCTAAATCTGTGGGCAGTGGGCAGTGGGCAGTATGAGGGTCCTTAGAAGGGACCAGATTTCCTACCCTAGAATGTTAGGTCTATCCTGGACTACCTACTTCTGACTTTATGAAACTGAGGCATGGTCTGAGTAAAGTAGCACCATGAAAACCACAGGCAGCCACCATTCCTGTATGTCAGGGCTGCCCACATTCCTAGACAGGGCTTCCCATTCCTCCCAATGAGAAGTTTGGGAGGACTCTTACCTTTGGAGTGAGGTACTTGGTTATTATTTCCTTCCCCTTCTCTCCAAGTTTTTCATCTGGAGTAACTTCATATTCTGCCTAAAACAGAAGGAAAAAAAGAATAACAACAGTTTTTTGCTACTGAAGTTGGAGTAATTATGGGACCTTAGAACCTCTTGGTCAGGAAAAACCTGACTAACCCCCTCCTTCTGCAGAATAGGTAACTGTGGCACAGAAAGTTCAGGAAGACCTGGCTAGGGAGCTCAAAGTCCAATCAAAAATTTGTACTCTCCACAGGAACTGATCGAGCCAATCATGAAACCATAAGCCCAATAGATTTCTGCTACAAATTTGATTTTTCTAATAGAAAATAGAAATTTGACAAAAAAGAAACAAGGTGATTATTCTAGATGGCGTCTCATCAAAAACTTAAAAAGAACCAGGTAACATGACAAGGGAACAGGTACTGTCATTTGTTTATTTTTAAGGGAAAATAGGTTTATAACTTCAACTAATACAGTCTATCAGTTCTCAACCTGTGAGTCACAACCCCTTTGGGGGTTGCACATCAGAAATTTACATTATGATTCTTTTTTGTTTTAGCTTTTGTTTTTGAAACAGAGTTTCTCTGTCTAGACCTGACTCTATTAGAATTCACTCTGTAGACCAGGATGGCATGGAGCTCACAAAGATCCGCCTGCCTCTGCCTCCTGAGTGCCAGGATGAAAGGCATGTGCCACCACTGCCTGGCAACAATAGCAAAATTACAGTTATTAAGTAGCAATGAAATAATTTTATGGTTGGGGGTCACCACATGAAGAACTATATTAAAGGGTGTCAGCATTAGGAAGATTGAGAACTACTGGTATAGTCCATCCAAGTGAAGTAGAGTTCATGGTAGTGGGAATGGGGAAGCAGAAGACTCAGGCTGAAAGTGGAATTGGGTTGTAACATGCAAGGTTTGCCACTGGAGCGTGACCACATCAGCCACAGGGCCTAACCCCCATGCCCCAAAAATTCACACCCAGAATTCTTTCTTGGCACCATTTAGAAACTTAGGACTCCAGGTCACTGGTTAATCCAGTAAATTCCAAGCTCTAAAGAAATTTAAAAAAAAAAAAAATCAAAGTTTTACAATTTACTTGAGCCAAGAAGGGCTCCTTCACTCATTCAATGCACTTGCTAAATGGATGAAAGGCTTTGTGTGTAACAAGAGGCTTGAGTGAGTTTGCCTTTCTCATTTAGTCAAAGCAACTTAATGCAGATGGTGTATAACCACTTCAAAATCTACCACCTGAGAATTTTTCAGGCTCAGCACTGAAGTATGGACCAAAAAGGCTGGGAAATGACCAGTGCAGACAGGTCTGCACTCTTCCAAGCATTCAATGGTGCAGTAGTAGATAGATACTAGGCCATCCTTGGCAAACTGAAGGCAGCCCACAGCTCAGGATCTAAGTTCTGATCCCCTTCTGCCTGCCAAAAGGCTTTCCTTGAAATACAAAAAGAAGGTCAAGAAGCATGTGGAAGAGCCCCAGAGGGAGCAGCACAGTTTTATCCAAAGCAGCAAGTCCCCCTACCTTGATGTCCCTCTTCTAATGAAAGCCAAGAGCCCCAACTCTCCAATGTGTAAACATGAAACCTATGACGATTTGGACTATGGTGTGGTTGCTCTAGAAGATATGCAACCATTTAATTTATAGGCTAGAATTGAGGCTCAGGGAGGCAAAGAAACTCCCCAAGTTCACACAGCCAGCGGTAACAGTAAGGACTGGACCATTAGGCCCTGATTCCTACTATACCACCAGGCCATAGTTATCTCTCTTACAGCCAATTCCTCCTCACTAGATGACAGACTTGGTCAGCATGGCAGGTATGACTATTCCCAATACACAGAGGAAAACACTGAGGTTCCAAGCTTCAAATTTAGCAGAGATGGTAGCAACAGAACTTCAACACTAAGGCCAACCCCCCTTTTCCAAGGGGAGTAAGGAAGCACCCAGTATCCTGTGTTCCTGGAAGCCTCACCCTGTGGTCTGGCACATGGACATAGCCAGACTGCTTTATAGGGCCAGGTCCCTGGGTAAATGGCACTCTGAACACTGAATTTTCACTGTCCCAAAATACATCTATAAAGGCAGTTCTATTTAACCAGACGGAGGTTTGGGGCTCCCTGATCAGTCTCAGTGACCAGCTGAAAATATTATTGCTCTGGGTTCTAAAAGCCATGTTAAAAAAGAAAATAACATCACATTCAGGTCAGCTGTCTCCCAGCAGAGGCCAGATGGGCACAAAGCTCCACCGGAAGGCAGCTGAGAGCACTTGGGGACAGGCCTTCCCACTCCTGGATCAAAAGGCCTTTTTTTGACGAGACTATGTCAGGCCACCACCACTTGAGAAGCGTTAGTTTTGGGAGGCAGAAAACCAACAGAAAGATGCCAGCTGGTTTTTCCACACTGATTAAGTCACCTAGAGTGACAGGCCTTGTCTCCTGAATGATCCCAAGGAGGGCTGGGGCTTATGGGGACAAGTCCTGAGAGGCCACCTAAAGAGAGAAGGAAGGTGCCATGAAGAATGGGCGCAAGGCAGATTACATGACACAAGATTGGGACTATCCCATAAACCACCTCTCTGCTAATATCCCTGTCCAGTAGTGGGAAAAAGCTCTACTCAGTTTATACCAGTTCATACCAGAAACTGAAAGCAGCAAATAGAAGTTTGTGCAACAAGCCTAGAAATTTCCAAAATGGCAAACAGATGATAAAAAAGAAAAGAGCCATGTGCTGTAGAATAAGCTCATACTTCGAGCACTTGGAGGTTGAGGCAGGGGAATCAAAATTCTAAGTCAGCCAATTCTCCACTGGAAGACCCTGTCTCATAATTTGTAAAAGGCAAGGAAGAAAAACCTAATGCAAGGAATGTCCTTTGAACTCTACCAGAGTCTTTCCCACTGCTCATAACTCAGTGTCCTTGGAGACTATTTCTTCTTTGAGATTCACTCCAGGTGCAAACAAGACAGGCAGTATTTCACCAGCTTCTCTGTGATTTATAACAAATGAAGGATGGCCTTGGGGAGCAGGTGCTGTCCTGACACAAGGAGCAAAATGCTCTACTGAGTTCAGCCAACAAAGGATTAGTCATCTATCTGCACTGCCAGGGAGCACCAACATCACTGGACATCCCAGCTTATAAACCTACTTCAGGCTCTGGGCCTGCTCAAACTGCACCATCAATCTCAGAAAATGCCATGGAAAACAGGTCCTAGCAGGGAAAACTCCTCTCCCTCGGCTGACTTTTTTAGGACTATGGTTCAAAGGAGCCACTTTGAATCAAGAGCAGCATCTAAGCTGATGAGTGGCATATACTTTAATTCCAGCATTTGAGACAGAGACAGGTGGATCTCTGTGAGTCTTGAGGCTGTCCTGGTCTACATATTGAGCTCCAAACCAGTTAAGGCTTTGTCTTTAAGAAAAACAAAACAAAATGAACCAGAATTTACACCAGTTTCTGCTTCAATTCAGCAGACTTTGTGTCACCTTTTCTAGGACTGGCAGAAATATGAAGTCAGACATGCCATGAAACTGTGCTATCTCCAGCTTCTGTAATTATTGGTGTAGTCAGCTATTCCAAAGCCTATGTATGATCCAGGCCTACAGCATGACTGGTCAGCAGTGCTACTCCAAGCAGAACTTTCTGGAGAAACAGCAAGGACCACCCACACTGGCCCCAGTTATTTACATGTGCTGACTACAGAGGCCGCTCCTCCAAACTCTTTCTACCCAGTAGAGGAAGAGGACAGTGTGAAAATGTCCTCTTCCTCCTTCCACCTTGGCATCTCAGTTCCCAGACCTTCTGAAGATCCAGCTCGCACAGACCAGCCTCCTAGTTCAGTTCCTTCCTTCATCCTAGCATGTCAGCACTTGGTAACAGCACAAGGGAAGCACGCCAGCTAATCCTCTCACCTTGTGTGCACTCTGTACATGCTGAAGCTATGAACCACATTCCCTGGGAAGTCCCAGGTGATATTCCATGCCATGCGGCAGGGTGTAGTGGGATATTCACTTTGTCTCCTTCCACAGGTCAAGACCCCAACCTCTACAGCTCTACAGCTACAATGCTGAGCCACTGCATGGGGAACACCCTTAGAGGCCCTGGGTCAGATGGATCTGGTCTGCTCCAAAAGCTGTACCTGCCTGTCATATGTTCCTCACTAAACATCCCAATCAGGCCCTGGGTCAGAGGATCACTGTGTCATTTTGGCACAGCATATGAGATAGGACCAGCAAGAGAAGGGAAAAACAGACCCCTATCTATTTGAGGATATAGACTAAACTACCAGGAATGACATTTGGACCTTAGCCTGTGAGTAATGACTGAGCTAGAAGCGGGTGCTGACTGAAGGATGGAGGAGAAAGCCATTGGTTCCCCAAGAGGGAGATGAGAAGTCCCAATATCAAAGTCTCATGGCAAAGGAGCTCTAGCACACCACCTCCTGCCTGTCCAATATTCCTCTTCTGAGACTCAGCCCCAGATGGCTCTCCATCCTCTCCCCTGATGGCTGTTTTTCCTCCCTGCGATGATGAGTTCCCCACAACCAAGTCCATCAGACCACCACACAAAAGCCTGTCCCTGTCACTCTTAGTTCTTAAGGAAATTCAGCTCGGACTAAACAATCTCAGGGAAAACTGCTCCTGGGATCAAGAGACACACACTCACAGGTCAGAGGACACTTTTGTGAATTGATTCTTTTCTTTCATGGTGGCAACTAGGTCATCGGGCTTGGCAGAAAGCATTTTTATCTTCTGATCTATCTCAACAGCCCCCTACTTTAAGAGTTCTCTATGGAAAAAGGACTTTCCCTCAATTCACTGACTCCAGAGAAGGCTTCTCTCTATCTCAGCTCCGCTCTTAAAATCAACTGTAGTCTAGGTTGGCGTCATTTAGAACATACATATCCTAGAACAGTCATATAATTAGGAAATGTTAAGTGGGACATCTAGGAGACTGGATATTTTATAAGTGCCCACTAGATGACTCCATTCTAGAAGAAGCTTTCTTTGCAGACAACCTTTAGTACAGGATCTGACTTTGCCAACTCCTGC